AGTTGTTTGATCTATCAATTTCTCGATTTTTGATTTTCCCATTTCTCCAGTTTCCGACTTCTCGATTTTTCAGTTTTTCAAGTTTTCCATTTTTCAGTTTTTTAATGTTTCAGTGGGGTTTTCAATTTTTCGATTCTTTAATTTTTTTCCTCTATTTTGGAATTTTCCGATATTTCAGTTTTACAATTTTTCAACTTTTTGATTCTTCGATATTTCGATTTTTCAATTTTTAACCTTTTGGCGTTTCTAAATTTGCAATTTTTCGATTTCTCAACTTTTAAGATTGTTCTATTTTTTGATTTCCTCATTTCTAAACTTTTAAAATTTTCAGTTTCTCGATTTTTCGATTTATCAATTTTCCGTTATTTTAGTTTTACGATTTTTCAGTTTTTTGATTTTTCGACTTTTAGATTTTTCGATTTGTTAGTTTTCCCAATTCTCGAGTTTTCCACTTCTCTCCATTATTTTCCATCACTTTTATTTATATCACTTTCTCGATTTTTGATTTTCCCATTTCTCAAGTCTTGTCGATTTTTCAATTTTTCAATTTCTCAGCTTTTCAATTTTCTCATTTCTGAGGTTTTCGACTTCTTGATTTCTCGGTTTTTCTGCTTTTTCAATTTTTGGATTTTTGTGGTTTTTGATTTTTCGATTATTTTTCAGTTGTTTGATCTATCAATTTCTCGATTTTTGATTTTCCCAGTCCTCCAGTTTTCGACTTCTCGATTTTTCAGTTTTCAAGTTTTCCATTTTTCAGTTTTTTAATGTTTCAGTGGGGTTTTCAATTTTTCGATTCTTTAATTTTTTTCGTCGATTTTGGAATTTTCCGATATTTCAGTTTTACAATTTTTCAACTTTTTGATTCTTCAATATTTCGATTTTTCAATTTTTAAATTTTTGGCGTTCCTAAATTTGCAATTTTTCGATTTCTCAACTTGTAAGATTTTTCTATTTTTTGATTTCCTCATTTCTCGACTTTTAAAATTTTCAGTTTCTCGATTTTTCGATTTCTCAGTTTTCCGTTATTTCAGTTTCACGATTTTTCAATTTTTTGATTTTTCGACTTGTAGATATTTCGATTTGTTAGTTTTCCCAATTCTCGAGTTTTCCACTTCTTGATTTCTCGATTTTTCAGTTTTTTCAATTTTTGACTTCGTTTTCTCCATTATTTTTCATCACTTTTATTTATATCACTTTCTCGATTTTTGATTTTCCAATTTCTCAAGTCTTGTCGATTTTTCAATTTTTCAATTTCTCAGCTTTTCAATTTTCTCATTTCTGAGGTTTTCGACTTCTTGATTTCTCGGTTTTTCTGCTTTTTCAATTTTTGGATTTTTGTGGTTTTTGATTTTTCGATTATTTTTCAGTTGTTTGATCTATCAATTTCTCGATTTTTAACTTTCCCATTTCTCCAGTTTTCGACTTCTCGGTTTTTCAGTTTTTCAAGTTTTCCATTTTTCAGTTTTTTAATGTTTCAGTGAGGTTTTCAATTTTTCGATTCTTTAATTTTTTTCCTCTATTTTGGAATTTTCCGATATTTCAGTTTTTACAATTTTTCAACTTTTTGATTCTTCAATATTTCGATTTTTCAATTTTTAAATTTTTGGCGTTCCTAAATTTGCAATTTTTCGATTTCTCAACTTTTAAGATTTTTCTATTTTTTGATTTCCTCATTTCTCGACTTTTAAAATTTTCAGTTTCTCGATTTTTCGATTTCTCAGTTTTCCGTTATTTCAGATTCACGATTTTTCAATTTTTTGATTTTTCGACTTGTAGATATTTCGATTTGTTAGTTTTCCCAATTCTCGAGTTTTCCACTTCTTGATTTCTCGATTTTTCAGTTTTTTGAATTTTTGACTTCGTTTTCTCCATTATTTTCCATCACTTTTATTTATATCACTTTCTCGATTTTTGATTTTCCAATTTCTCAAGTCTTGTCGATTTTTCAATTTTTCAATTTCTCAGCTTTTCAATTTTCTCATTTCTGAGGTTTTCGACTTCTTGATTTCTCGATTTTTCAGTTTTTTCAATTTTTCGATTTTTTAATTTTTCTTTTGATTTTGCTATTTTTCGGTTTATGGATGTCTCTAGTTTTCGATATTTCAGATTTGGGATTTTATAATTTTTCGATTTTTCAGGTTTTAAATTTTTTGACTTGACGATTTCTCGATTTTTCAGTTTTTTCAATTTTTGACTTCGATTTCTCCATTATTTTTCATCACTTTTATTTATATCACTTTCTCGATTTTTGATTTTCCCATTTCTCAAGTCTTGTCGATTTTTCAATTTTTCAATTTCTCAGCTTTTCAATTTTCTCATTTCGACTTCTTGATTTCTCGGTTTTTCTGCTTTTTCAATTTTTGGATTTTTGTGGTTTTTGATTTTTCGATTATTTTTCAGTTGTTTGATCTATCAATTTCTCGATTTTTGATTTTCCCATTCCTCCAGTTTTCGACTTCTCGATTTTTCAGTTTTCAAGTTTTCCATTTTTCAGTTTTTTAATGTTTCAGTGGGGTTTTCAATTTTTCGATCCTTAAATTTTTTTCCTCTATTTTGGAATTTTCCGATATTTCAGTTTTACAATTTTTCAACTTTTTGATTCTTCAATATTTCGATTTTTCAATTTTTAAACTGTTGGCGTTTCTAAATTTGCAATTTTTCGATTTCTCAATTTTTAAGATTTTTCTATTTTTTTATTTCCTCATTTCTTGACTTTTAAAATTTTCAGTTTCTCGATTTTTCGATTTCTCAATTTTCCGTTATTTTAGTTTTACGATTTTTCAGTTTTTTGATTTTTCGACTTTTAGATTTTTCGATTTGTTAGTTTTCCCAATTCTCGAGTTTTCCAGTTCTTGATTTCTCGATTTTTCAGTTTTTTCAATTTTTCGATTTTTTAATTTTTCTTTTGATTTTGCTATTTTTCGGTTTATGGATGTATCTATTTTTCGATATTTCAGATTTGGGATTTTATAATTTTTCGATTTTTCAGGTTTTAAAATTTTTGACTTGACGATTTTTCGACTTCTCTGTGTCTCGATTTTTCAACTTTCCGATATTTGAGTGTTACAATTTTTCAACTTTTTTATTAAATTTTTCAATTTTTGACCCTTAAAATTTGCGATTTTTCGATTTCTCAACTTATCACGATGGAAGGATTCACCCGCTTTTTTCTCAAAATAGTCTATTTAACAATATGATAGTACTTAAAACATGTTTTAGTACTTATTAGTAATTCCTGCACAGAAATGAGCAACTTGCACTTTTGCTCCGCCCCTCGGTTTGACAACTAATGAGAAAATCATCACAATCGACATGCGGGTGAGTGGGTGGGGCTTACTCTTTTTCTTTTTTTATTTATTACACATTCTCAGTTTCTTGTCGTGAAAGTAAAACCTACTTACATTAAGAAAAAAAAGAGACAATATTAACCCCGCCCGCCCGCCCCAACCACAATCGTGACAAATTTTTCATTTGTTGTCAGACCGAGGGGTGGAGCTTAATTGCAAAATCGATGTTTCTCGACAAAAACTTACCATTTTAAACATGTTTTAAGTAGAAGTATTATATATTAAGGGAAAAAAGAGCCCCACCCACCCGCCCTAATCTCAGTTGTAATGCATTTTTCATTCGTTGTCAAGCCGAGGGCGGAGCTTAAATGCAAAGTTCATATTTGTGTACAAGAAATTACGAAAACATGGTTTAAGTATTATCATATTTTCGATTTTACTATTAAACTCCGCCCCCCGACTCACGATGAATATGAAAAAAACGCCACAAATGAGACAGGGGTGGGTGGGCGGGATTTATATTTTGCCTTTTTTTTCTTAATACACGTAGTTTTCTTTTCGCGACAAGAGGTTGAAAAAAATTTGTATTTCAAACCGAGTAAAAACAAAATTTGTCAATTTAAACCATTTTCGACCATTTTCAAAATTCAATTCTATAAATCGTGGACAAAGGACGAAATTAATATTACGTTATTACATCACTTAATTACAGTAACTGAAGAAATAATAAAACAAGTTCATAAAATTTCAATTAAATGGTAGTTAGTGATGCAATTGCAATTTTGCAATTAAACATGAAACTGCGTCGTTTCTTAGAAGCAGTAATTTCAATAATTAAATAAAATATAACGAAGGCAGATGTAATACATTGTTTCTCTGTTATTTCAGGCTGGAATTTCCTTCATTAAGTTAAGAGACAAATTTCAGTATAGGTAAGCATTTCCGGTGAACTTCTTTGTTCTAACTAAATCTACACATTTATTGAAATATAACGTATGATCTTAATCACAAAAAATGCATTAGGTACATACCCTTAATGGCACGTTCCCCTAATTAAAGACTTTAAAAGCTCCCGGTATTAAAAGCTCACATAAATATTGCTTATGCAACGCACAAAAAATAATGAAGCAGATTTTTTCTCCGAGTAATTAAACCAAACAACGGAAACTGCAATAACTTCAGGAAACGGAACTCATTAATACGCAAATCAATTTAATAAACAAAAAACCAACAAATCTGTGATTTTATTAGACGCGATTTTACGAGACATGCGCTCAGTCTGTCCACAAACCAAAGCACAGAAATTGTCAGTAAGTTCGCGACTTTTGCCCCGAAAGCTCGGATTTTATCCTCGTGCGCTCGAATTCACGCACCGTTTTTTCTGCAGCGCTTGGAGGTAATTTCAGGTTGTTATTTAATAATTTTCTTTGTTGACGTTATTAGACAGTTTTATTTAGTTCATCAGGGTTTGTTTATCTTATTGTTTTTTTTCTATTTCGTTATTCTCTTAGGCCGAACACAGTTTTTTTGGTGGTTTTGTTGTGGTTTATTTTTAGAAGCTTCGATTTATAAAAAACACGTAGACACTACAATTTTTGAAACTTGTGCGAAGGTGGGACACAAAATGGCGGCACTTTCTAAGAAGAGTGCGCTTCAACAAGTAATGACTATAATTCGTGGCTATCTTGTCAACACCACCCACAACGTCAGCGAAATCGACATCCAAATTTTTCTACATTATATTAACAAGAGTAACGAAAATCACCTAGAAGGGGATAATCTAACCAATGAGAACGTCGACTGTGGCGACACCTTGCGCTACTACGCCGAAACCTACGCCCGAACTTACCACCCGTTCATCGCACTGACTGTCTGCATCCTTGGAAGTATTGCCAACATTCTAAACGTGATTGTTTTAAGCCAGAAGGAGATGATCAACGCACCGATTAACCGAATCTTGACGGCTTTAGCCGTAACAGACGTGTTAGTAATGCTGGAATATGTCCCTTACGTCTACTACTACTATATAGTGTTGCCCAAAAACCTCGACTTTCCTCTTCTGGGGGCCATCTACATCTTGTTCCATATCCACTTCGCCCAAACTCTTCACACAACGTCAATTTGCTTAACACTGATGTTAGCAGTGTGGAGATTTTTAGCCTTACGGTATAGTTAAAGAAATCCACAAGGGTGATTTTTTAACTGTGAATTGTAGCTACCCTGCCCGACAACACATCTTCTGCTCCCACTCCAGGTGCACTCTTGGCATTACCATCAGTACCATTCTTCCTTTAATCCTGTGCACTCCCACCTACGTCACTATTTCCATCACCAGTGAACCCATCATTGAAAACACCACCAAGTATACCCTCTACCACACCGATCTTAGCGAGACCTTCAGAACTGACAAGACTCTACTCAAAATCAACTTCTGGATCTACGCCGTCTTCATCAAACTACTTCCTTGTTGTATCCTCACCGTCATAAGTTCCTGGCTCATTCGCACCCTCTTCATCGCTAAACGACGCAAGCAAGTGCTACGCAGCTACGTCTGCTACGTCTTCAGGGAAGATGGTCACTCTAAAGCGACGAAACCTTTGAAGACGGAGCGCCGAGCGGAACGCACTACGAAGATGTTAATCGCGGTTTTGGTTTTGTTTCTCATAACTGAGTTTCCACAGGGAATTTTTGCCTTCTTTATTGGTATCAAAGGGAAGAATTTGTTCCTGGATTGTTACCAACAGTACGGGGCTGTGATGGATATTCTAGCGCTGGTCAGCGGGGCCATCAATTTCATTTTATATTGTTTCATGAACAGGATGTTTCGGAAGAATTTTGGGTTGCTCATCAGGGAAAGGATCTTCGGGTGCACGTGAGTATGACGTCTGCGATAATTAAAATAAGGATTGTTTTTTATAGGGTACCAGCGAAAATCGAAGCCAAATCAGCGACTCTTAACGAATGGTCAGTGGAAAGTTTTTCCTTGAAACGCATTTGTAATTCAAGAGTGTGATTAACGTTTTGAGTCAGAGTTGGCTTTGAGTTGGCACCACTGAACGTCGACAATGTGAATTTTCGGTGTTAATTATACCATAATTGTGACCCGTCGTAATATTTAATCACACTGCTCAAACTTGGTAATCCTACACCATTTTTTAATGTACCTATATACTATGCCAATTTTCACTTTATATATGTATCTTTACATCAGAAAATTTATTCTGAGACATGTTTTATGTGATGTATTGTTATCGTTGTCACGGTTTAATAAAAAATGTACACCTTTTATATTGGTTTCATTTTATTAATGACACTGTCTAGAAAATCCATACCTACTACAGACGAACCGCATAAATAAATCTCGCATTTCAAATAATTATCAACTAAAGTCGTTTTATGTATATTATAACAAGAAAAGTCCATTTGGGACGTGCGAGGATGCAAAGCGTATTACAAGGATGGAACTTATTCAGACGCGACTTGACATTTCAATGCGTTTTTTGTCTTGTTTTCTCGACTGAACTGAGATGACAGTAATAAGTATAACCTATAACTTTTTTTAAAGATAAATAAGTGTCACACTTTTTGTTCTGTGCTTACAGTGTGAATAATAAATAAACTTTATAAAACTCGCTAATGTTTAATTATCGCTTGTAAACTTTAACAAAGCGGGGTGCTTTAGCAAATTCATTAATAATTTAAAACCCAAAAATAAACAAATTACTTATAGTTAGTTCGGTGTTATAACTTTTGTGAAGTAATGTTTGAATGAATATTGAAATGTACAAGAAGAAGATGGAAAATTTCAACATTTTTGCAAGGACACGTATATGACCTTGGCTTGGTGCAGTATAGTACTTGTTAAGATAAAACTGATTGTGGCAAATTGCATACCCCCGAAGAAAATAGAGGGCGGGTGGGCGGGGCTAATACTTGTTAAGATAAGATTGATTTTGGTAAATGACTAAACAATACTAAGGTTCCGTAGGAAAAACTTAAACTTAGCCCCGCCCATCCACCCTTTCTTTACTTAGAGGGTATGTCATTTGCCAAAATCACTTTTATCTTAGCAGGTACTAGCCCCGCCCACCCACCCTCTCTTTTCTTAGAGGGTATCTCATCTGCCAAAATCAGTTTTATCTTAGCAAATACTAGCCCCGCCCACCCACCCTGTATTTTCTCAGAAGATATGTCATTTGCCAAAATCACTCTTATCTTAGCAGGTACTTAGCTAGTGCTTGCCAAGATAAGGCTGAAATTGGCAAATGACATACCCTCTAATAAAATAAACGGGTGGGTGGGAGGGGCTAGTACTTGTTAAGGTAAAATTGATTTTAGTAAATTACATATTTTCTAAGAAAAAAAAATTAAGAATAGTCACTGGAACGAAGATGGGGGTGGGTGGGCGGGGCTAACTAGAAAAAAGCTGAATTTAGCCCTGCCCACCTTCCTTCTCCATTTCATTGACTTATTTTTTGTATTGTACAATGGAAATTGAATAATAACAGTATTGTATTGTAATGATAAATACATTTTGGGTAGAATGTACTCGGAAAAATTTTGAGTGACGTCATCAATTTTTTGGGGGGAATATAAAACATATTTTGATTAACAATTTACCATGCTTACTGAATAAAATTAATTGACTGATTCATTAATTTTTTTGAGTGACTCTGTATAAGCAGATCTAAAAAATGAGGTCTTTAATTTGATCAATTAAAAATTAATTAATTTTGCTAGTTTTTCGATTTTCCAACTTTTTGATGTTTCATTATTTAGATTTTGCAATTTTTTGCAGTTTTACCAATTTTCAATTTTTTAGGTTTTTATTTTTGTTTGTTTGCTGAGATAAGAGTGATTTTAGCAAATGACACCTTCAGAAAAATAGAGGGCGGGTGGGCGGGGCTAGCACTTGCCAAGTTAAGACTAATTTTGGCAAATGATATACCGTCTATGAGAACAGAGGGCGGGTGGGCGGGGCTACTACTTGCTAAGATACGACTGAACAGTATTAAGAATAGTCACTGGAATAAAGAAAGTGTGAGTGGGCGGGGCTAGTGTTTACTTATAAGACGCTTTAGAAAAAAGTAAACTCTGCTCCGCCCACCTTTTTTCTCTATTTCATTGTCTTATTTTAGTTACTGTAAAAAGGGAATTGTATTCTATTTTGACAAGCGGCAGAATCTAAGATTTAAAACAAAGTAACAGTAGCCCCGCCCACCCTTCCCTATTCCATTTTGTTCCTTTATTCTTATTTTATCTGAATAACGATAGTTGGATTTTATGTTGATAAAGAATAGAAAAAACTTTCAATTTTTAGATTTTTCAATTTTGATTTGCGATTTTTCTAGTTTTCATTTTGAATATGTAATCATAATTTTTAAAATGATAACACTTTTTCAATTTTACGATTTTTAATTTTTCAGCTCTCGATATTTGATTTTTCAACTTTTTAATCTTTCAGTGTTCCAGTTTATCGATTTTGCAATTTTTGGGTTTTCCAATTTTCCGATTTTTTTTATTTTTAAATTTCTTGAATTTTAGTTTTTTGATTTTCAACTTCATCGATTTTGCGATTTTCCGGTTTTCCACTTGTTTCAGATTTTTTAATTTTTCGATTTTTCATTTTTCAATTTCTCAAACTTTCGAATCAAAAAAATGGAAAATAGCAAAATTGTGAAATTGAAAAATCAAAATAAAAAAACGAGAAAGAATAAAATCAAAACTTTGAAAAATCTAAAAACTGGAAATCAAGAACTTAAAAAAATAGAAGAAACGAAAAACTTAAAAATCGAAGTTCAAAATCGAAAAATGGTATTGTAAAATCCAAATATTTATGTATTAAAAATTTAAGAAATCGGACAAATTGAAACCAAAAATTGAACAATCCAGGAAAATCAAATTTTGAGATTTGAAAAACTGAATAAACGAAAAATTACAAGTCTGATAGAAATTTTGAAAAAATAAGGGAAATGAAAAACAAAAATTCTGATATAAAATCGAGAACGAAAATAAAAAAATCCTGACAATGAAAAATAAACATCAAGAACTGGAAAAATCAAAAAATGAAAAATTGATATGTAGAAAATTTGCAAATTTTTAACAAAAACTAAAAATTTTGGAGTGGAGAAATTGAAAAATTAAAGTTGGAAAGACGAAAATTATGAAACCGAAACACTGAAAAATGAAAGAAAATGAAAAACGAAAAATTGTAATATCGAAACTTTCGACAGAACTTCCCTCGCCCCTTAAGTACAATAAATCCAGATTTTTAGAAAAATTATTATTTAGCTGATTTTAAATTGGTGTAACGACATTTTACAACTGGGTTTTGAAAGATTTTAGGGTTATCGAAGCATGGTAAAATTTAATAATTTTTCAAAGAAGGCTACAAGCCTTCGACTAATTTTTTATTAGTTTAATTGATTCTAATGCAGAAGAAGTGCTTAATTTGTCACAGTTCGATCAGATAGAACTTGGCCACGTGCCAAAATTAGTTGGCAAAAAGCTTAAACGGTTTATTATTATCTTTGTTGTGAAAACTTGTTATTAAAATTTGTTACTGGCTTCTTAATTTTTGTTATTGGTTTAGAAGAGATTGACTGATCCATTGAAACTATTCTCTGTAGTTAGTGGCATGCAGTTCAGCATTTGTTGCGATACAGCAATCAATTTTTAAGTAACTTCCGTCGCCAAACTATAACAAATTGGAGGGTTTTTGTAAATCAAGTTGTACCAGAAAGACGTTTTCCTGGTTTGGACTGTGTCAATTTTGACGTGTTTAGGCGTTTGTCCACTACGTAAGGAACATTTCCATATGTATTATTATTATTATTATTATTATTTCTATATAAATAAAAAAAAACTGCTTATTGTGCAGGTTTTTAAGTAAGTATTAAGTGCAGGATTTAAGTTGATTATTACCATTTTAGACATGTTTTAAGTTTCTTGTTGTCGAAATAAATCTACACATATTAAGAAAAAAAGACAAAATATAAGCCCCGCCCACCCACCCTGTCTCAATTGTGATGATGTTTTTATTCGTCGTGAGCCAAGGGGTGGAGCTTAATTGCAAAATCCACATTTACCATTTTAAACGTGTTTTAAGTTTCTATGAATAAAAAATCATCACAATTGAGACAGGGAATGATTTTTTTTATTCGCAGTGAAGCAAGAGGGCGGAGCTTAATTGCAAAATGAAAGCCCGCCCACCCGCCCTGTCTCTATTGTGATGATTTTTTTAATCGTCGTGAATCAAGGGGGCGGGGCTTAACTGCAAAATCCTTATTTCTCTACGAGTTATCATAAAAACATGTTTTTCAGTATCGTGTTGGTCAAAGAATGCTATGTATATTAAGAAAAATTTAAACCCCACCCATACCTGGTTTGATCTAAAATAGTAATGAAGTTTTCATTCGCTGGCAGACCTGGGGGCGGAGCCTAATTGCAAAATCCACATTTACCATTTTAAACGTGCTTTAAGTTTGTAACAATAAAAAATCATCACAATTGAGATGGGGTGGGTGGGCGGGGCTAATATGTTTCCTTTTTTTTTAATATACATAAAATTCTTTGAATGACACGATACTCAAAAACATGTTTTTAATTTCTTGTGAAGAAATAAATATTTTGCAGTTAAACTCCGCCCTCATGCTTCAGTGCGAATAAAAAAAATCATCACAATTGAGGCAGGGCTGGTGGGCGGGGTACATTTTGTCTTTTTGTTTTAATGTGTGTAGACTTCTTTTCACCACATGAAACTTAAAACATGTTTAAAATGGAAAATTTGTATTTATTTTTTATTTTATACGGAAATATCAATTACCTTTTCCTTGCTAAAATGTACCATTTTAACCATGTTTTAAGTTTCTTGTTGTGAAAATATATATATAAATATTAAGGAAAAAAAGGCAAAATGAAAGCCCGCCCACCCGCCCTGTCTCAATTGTGATGATTTTTTTGTTCGTCGTGAATCAAAGGGGCGGGGCTTAACTGCAAAATCCTTATTTCTCTATGAGAAATTAAGAACATGTTTTTGAGTATCATGTTATTCATAGATACCATGTATATTAAGAAAATATTAAAACCAAATGTTAAGCCCCACCCATACCTGCCCTGATCTAAATAGTAATGAAGTTTTCATTCGCTGGCAGATCTAGGG